TTCTGTCCTCTCCACACTGTACAGTAAAACACAGTAGGCATTTTCAGTAACTCTTCTTGGTCAAGAATTTGTTCATTCTACACAAAACCTCTTCCCTTATTTTCCTGGACATCGTCCTCCTTCCTTGGTTATTTCTCAGTCTTTGGTGTGCTCCTCTTTCTCTGTGCATCTCTTTACAATAGTTTTCTTCTCAGGGTTCCACCCCAAACACCCTTCTCTTACCCTTCTAAAGACCCTTACTAGAAAATGCCATTCATTCCATAATTTGCATAATTCAAAAAGTCACTGTGTAGGTAACACTCCCAAACCTTCAGACTTCCATAATCCGTCTGTACTAATCACACCTTTTCATTTTGTAAATTTCTAGTGCTTTGACATTTGGGGATCTGACTGACCACGGACAGATTACCCCTTTCAGGAATAGTAAGAGAATTTCTTGAAAGCAGACCTTGCATGTGAAAACCAATCCAGAGTTCAATTCCAAGTACCTCCTTTATTCGGCTTCAATGAGGCTCTCACACTTTGGGCCATTATGCACCCATCTTCAACAGATGAAGGTCAGTTATCAGACAACTCTTTATATCCCAGAGAGTGCTGAGAATATTCAAACTCACCAGTTTTAAGCCTGTTTACCCTTGCCTGCTTTCTCCCATACTGAAGAAACTTTGTGCTTCTCCAAAAGCTAAAATTAGGAAGAACTAGTGAAATTTCTAAGAAAGCAACATAAAGAAAACTTGGAAAAAGTGAAGCACACTAAACATACAGTCCCTGGACAGGAAGTGACATTCTGGTCACTTGAAAGTTTCTTGCTTATTCAGAGGCTGGAAAATGTTTCTGCACTACCTGGATTATTAAGTTGGATGCTATCAATCATCACACAAAACCCTAATAGTCTATATTTTGCTACTCTTAAGTTATCTTTTTAAAATTTAGGGGGCTGGTATGGTGCTTCAGTGGTAGAGCACTCACCTAGCAAGCGTGAGGCACTGAGTTCAACCCTCAGAACCACATAAAAATAAATAAAATAAAGGCATTGTGTCCAACTATAACAAAAATAAAAATTTAAATTAACTCTTACTCCTATTCCCATTATCACCAAGCATTTTTGACATTTGCATATCTGATATTGTTGATTGTCTGCATTATAAAGATCAGCAATTATCTGTGTTCACCTGTTTTTGTGCCTCATACAGAATCTGGGTCTGTGCACAATCACTGTAAATAATAAACTCTTCTCTT